ATGTTAAGCTTAGTTTTATATTCTGTCACATTTGTCATTAAATATTACTGATGGATTGTTTCTGTTATTTCTCCAATCTCAACAAACCTTCAGCAAATAGCATCTAGTACAGATGACATTTGAAAGTGAGCCTGCAGACAGGTCATGCCCTAGGCTTGGGATGGAGGGCGTGTTGTCCTGCTGCCATAGGAGTGATCTCACAGGCTGCGGTGTGGTGTCTGAAATGATGAGACTTTCAGGGTGGAGCCAAGCCAGGCTGCATCACCAGGGGAGGTGGCAAGTTAGTACTTAAGCTCCATCAAGGACACAGATAGCGTGAGTTTGCTTCTCCATGACCAACTGTCCCACTTGAAGGTGCTCCGGGGACCCGCAGAGGTAAAGCTTATGGGATGAAGAGGATGGAGGAGAAGGACACACGCCAGTCAGCACTCTGAGCACTCTGTGCTGTCTGGACCAGTGTTGCATCTTCCATGGTACAGGAACTCAGGCCTAAGGCCTAAAGCTTCCTCAGCCATGCTGCCAGCTCACACCTCTCTGCTACCTTTGTCTGCAAATTGGAACTCTGAAGTCCTTCCAGGCCTCTTCCTCCTCCTGCCCCTCCTGGCAACAGATCTTGGGTTTTGACAATCATTTTTGTCTTTTTGCCACTGTACATATATGTGTATGTGTGAAGGAAAACAGACCCTATCCAGGTAGAAATGGAAAAGGCAGAGAGGAAACGTATATTATCAGGGTCAGAAATTTGGTCACAATTTTCCCAAAGTGGCTCAGAACTCTCTGTAATAACTCTTTTTGCAAAGTTACTTTTACCTTAGAAATAAATATTTTCTTCAAACCTTGTGAGTTCACTGACATCCACCCACAGAATGGGTGATTGTGAGCTGAGGGCTCAAGAAGCCTGTCTTTCCAGATCCTCTGAGTACCTTTGCCCTTTTCCTAGATGCTCAGCATTCACATCCCTTGTGTATTCTGGGGAATGCTGAGCATCTGGGGGCAAAGAGACCACCACCCACTCTGGGAAATAGAGCAAGAGCTATGGCTTGACAGTGCCCCTTGGTACTCCTGGGAAATCTGCACAAGATCTCACTCGGCCCCAGGCTGATTTTTAAAAAAAATATTTTAAAATTTATTATTTTTTATTTTATGTGTATGAGTGTATTGCTTGCATGTATGTAAGTGCACCTGTACTGTGCAATGTCTGCAGAGGTCAGAAGAGGGCACTGGAGCTCCTGGAACTGGAGTTAGGACAGTTGTTATCTGCTATGTGGGTGCTGGGAATCGAACCCAGGTCCTCTGTAAGAGCAATCAGTGCTCTTAACCACTGAGCCATCTCTCCAGCCCCAAGGCTGATTGTTTTTTATAAATGCTTCTCAAATGTATTATTTTTGTGACAAAATAAGGAGTCTCACAAATTAAAATAAAAATTATGAATTGTATGAAATCTGTCTTTAAATTTATTGGTAAATCAGAACAATAGCATCAGAATTCAACTGGTAAAAGCCTTAGATTAAATAGATCTCAGTTATGCCTGCAGCTTTGACCCGTAGGATGAAAGGTGGTTGTAGTGTGCTTGGTCTTGCTCCTTGTATCACATTTTTCTGTGAATATATAAAAAAGAGAAATTACATTTGGTGAACAAATGGGCCATATTCTTTTATAAACTTACATCACTCTTCATGAGTTGTTGGTCTGGACAGCTGTTGCTTTGACCGGGTGTTTTACCATAATTACGTGGAAATTCTGTTTGAGGTAAAGTTTACACGACTTAGGCTGTTCCAGGTCTATGCTCTGCCCATAGTGCTGTACTGTGCATATACATACCTGTCTTCTTTTTCCCCCTTAGGATTCCAAGCACTTGAATTTTCTGACATCAGAACAAGCTCTGGCTGATTATGCAGAGTTAATCAGACACTTGCAAAGGACAATCCCAGGAGCTGACAGTCAACCTGTCATCGCTGTAGGAGGCTCTTATGGTGGTGTGCTTGCAGCCTGGTTCAGGATGAAATATCCTCACCTGGTAGTTGGGTAAGTGCGTTGATGATAGACATGAGCACTTCTTTTTTGGGGGTGGGTGGGGAAGGAAGAGATAGTTTTTATAGAATTTTTTTACCATTTTCACACAATGTATTTTGATGGTATTTAGATCTTTTCCCTATCTGCACCCACCTTTGATATCCCTTGCCCAATTTAAAGTACTGTATTATATATAATAAGACCTACAAAGTCTAATTTGTATCTCCAAATGGGCCTTTCAGTGTGGGTCCATTCATGGAGCATGGTTAACTTACCAAGAGTCTCATCCTTGAAAGACTGTCTCTTTCCCTCCTAACAATCATTGATTGACAAACTTTTCTCAGGTTGGGTTGGGGTTTCTAACCTACTTCTCTTTGTCTGGTTTGAACTTGACTGGAACTTGTGCATGCTGCCACCATTGCTGTGAGTTCATATGAGTAAGTGACCAGCTGCCTGGAGAATTCTACTTCCTTGTGTCATCTACCACCTCTAATTCTTAGAATCTTTCCACCCCCCTCTTCCACAATGATCCCTGAATGTTGGAGGGCAGAAGTGTGATATAGGTGTCCTATTCAGGAATAAGCACTCTGTAGCCTCTTGTTCTCTGCACATTGGCCAGTTCTGGGATTCTGTGTTAATCACCATCTATTGCATGAAACTTCTCTAGTGAGAGCTGAGAGATGTACTAATCTATGGGTATAACAAGTCACTAGGAGTCAGTTTAATACTATAACTATTTATTAGAAAATTAGAATTAGACTCTTTCCTCTTTTGTCTAACCTCAGGATCCTAGCCTGATATCAATGTCAGGTATGGACCCCATCTTCTGAAGTGAACTATCAATATAATTGGAGATGGGTTGGTTACTCCCATAATATTTGTTTCACAATTGTACTGGTGGGCATATCTTGCCAGGCCAGTTGTTCTTGTAGTTCATAGGATTCACAGCTGGGTAAGGTTGATCATTTCTTTTTCCAGTAGTGTGCATAGCACCTTCTGGCACAGTAAGCACTAGCCAGTAGAGATGAGGCTTTGAAGTCAGCACTAGCTTGATTTCTCCTTGCTTGTTCTACAGTTTGGCATGAGCACTTCTTTTTATTTATTTATTATTTTTATTTTTTGTGTATGAGTGCATTGCCTGCATGCTTGTAAGTGCACCCCGGTCATGCAATGTCCACGGAGGTCCGAAGAAGGCATCAGAACCCCTGGAACTGGAATTAGGACAGTAGTTAACATGCCATGTGGGTGTTAGGAATTGAACCGAGGTCCTCTGCAAGAGCAACCAGTGAGCCATCTCTCCAGCCCTGTCATGAGCACTTCCTAACGATTAAAATAAGCTTAGAAACTCAGTATGGGTAAAGCATGCTCCACGCTGTTGTACTGAATTTTCTGGTTTCTGCCTAACCAACAACTGTGTTATTTTCCTCACCATTTTTGTTGTCTTGGTTTCCATTTTAAAACTTCAGTCAGATGATTTACATTTTCTTTCTCTCCTTTCATTTCCCTTATTATTTAGAGCCCTTGCAGCTTCTGCCCCCATCTGGCAGTTTGAGGATTTGGTTCCCTGTGGTGTGTTCATGAAGATTGTAACTGATGATTTTAAGAATAGTGGTACAAAATGTTCACAGAGTATCCTCAGGTCCTGGGGTGCCATTAACCGAATCTCAAATACAGGTAAGCTTTACCTAAAAGAATGGATTTACATTTTTTAAATATTTAACTGCATTTGTTTAACACTCCTACTTTCTCAAGCCATTTTATTAAAGTATAATATACGTACTGAAAACAAGACAACAGTAAATGCACAGGTTGATAAGTTACTTGGTATAATTATCATCCAGATGGATAAAGAGCATCAGCTTTGCCTCAGAAGTCTGGTGACATCTTCATTGTGGCCACTTGTACGTAGTTAATCACCATCCTCAGTCCTTGAACTTGAGGTTAATTTTGCTTGTTCTTGAGATTTTTAGTAATTGGAATTGCCTGCTCTCTTTTGTTCAACACTTGTTCAGTCCTTCTGTTTTACATAGTTGTTTGTACATTCACACTATTCTATAGTGTTACTATTTATTATTTCAATAGTATGCTAAAATGAGGGAACAATATAGAATACAAATTTTGAGAAGCTCTATGATGACATTCAATTCATCCATCATGGAATTATCTGATTGCTTTAAAGCACTTTGTTGAATGACGCAAAATTCTTGGTGAAGTGACACAGAAAACTGCATTTTTTATAATCCAAAATGGAGAATGAATAATTTGTGAAGATTTCTGTTGACTGGCACTTTTCAGTCTCCAACAATGTCATTCTATCTCCAGGCACTGGTCTAGCATGGCTTACTAAAACCTTCCACATATGTCACTCCCTAAGTTCTGAGGAAGTACAACGTTTGAAAGACTGGATCTCTGAAACCTGGGTGAACCTGGCCTTGGTGAACTACCCTTATCCAACTAACTTTTTAAAGCCTTTGCCTGCTTGGCCTATCAAGGTAATGGGAAACTCTCCTCTCATCCTTTTCAGTAAAATGCTTTTCATAGGCTTTCATCGGCAGAAGAGATCCAACTGATACAGGGGCTCTATGGAGTTAACAAATACAGGCTGGAATCCTGGGTTCAGCCATTTGCTGATTGGACCTTGGACAGTTTATACAACTTTTATTATCCTTGGTTTCCTCTTTTGAGAATTGGAGGTAAATCTCATCAGTTATTGCATAAGACTAATAGTTACTGTTAATGAAATAATTACTATGTGCCAAACCCTGGGCTGCACACACACACACACACACACACACACACACACATACACACACAGAAACTGCATAAGAATATATGCCAGACAGTTGTTGATATAAGTACCATCTTCTGTGTTCCCTCTTTCCTTCTTTTGTTTAGTTTAGTTTAGTATTTTTTTTTGTATTTGCACTTTTGGATTTTTTATTATACAATTTAGATTTTATAGTGACACATCTTCCAAGTCTAATTCAATTTTGTACTCGGCTCCATAGTTGTGAGGCAGAATCTCATATCTCTCCTTACATCTATTTATTATCTATCATCTATCTATCTATCTATCATCTATCATCTGTCTATCTATCATTTATCATCTATCTATCTCTCTCTCTGTCTATCATCTATCATCATCATCTACTATCAATCATCTTTCTATCATCTATCTATCTATCTATCTATCTATCTATCTATCTATCTATCTATCTAGAGATGTATCTAGATGATAGGTAGATAGATAGATAGTTCTTAGACTAGATGTAGGTAGCACATGGTAGAATCTTGACAAATGGCAACTCTATCATAGTGCTATGACTCAGTGAGCTGCTAAAACATCCTAATTGACACATGTATTATGAAGGGTGAGCCCCATGCAGAACAGTGGAGTTGAAAGAGCACCTTCTTGGGTCTTAACAGTGAGGGCTTGGCCTGGAGCTTCTGCTTACCAGCTATGTGATGCTGGACAAGGTTCTCTTCCTCCATGAATCTTCCTGTCTTCCTCAGAAGAACAAGATGTCAATAGTTAGAAAGGGTTATGCTAAGATCAAATGGAACGACTGTGAAGACACTCTAAGTAGTGTAAACAAACCAATTTTAGGTTCTATAAGTAGATAAACACTTAAATACCAAGTTTACATTCTTTGTATTTATAATAACTTATAATTTAAAAATTCTTTTATTGTTCACAATGTTTATTGTATATGTTCTTCTTTAAATATTCTCTTAAGAAGTCTTCTAGTTTTAAAAACAAAAGATTATTGTGTTTTGAAAATATTATTGACTCTACAGCTAGAATGGATGCTAGGAATAAAAAATTAATTGGTTTTCATTGATTCATTGAGAATTTCATACAATGCATTTTGGTCATATTTAGACCCCTCCTCCATCTCCATCCCTACCTTACAAATCCCCCACTTCATGTCCTCTATTGTTATTTTTTTAAGTCCTCTTTAGTCTAATTCATGGTCCCCAAATGCTCTTGGGTGTGGGTCCATCCCTTGGAGTCTGGTCAAGCTCCTAAGCAACCTTCTGACTCTCCCTTTCCCAGTAGCTATCAGTGTGCTACTGAACTACTATAACTCCACCTTGCTTAAAACTTTTAATTAGGGGTTCAGTGGGTTGTAATTAGATGGCTTAGTGGTTAAAAGCACTAACTGTTCTTGTGGAGGGCACAGGTTCAGTTCCTAGCACCCACATCAAGTTGCAGAGGATTTGATGGGGCCCCTGTGGGCAGTGTACACATGCAGGCAAAACACGTGTACACATAAAATAAAAATTAATAAATAAAAAGCCTTTTAAATTAAAATAAAATAATCCAGTTACTCTCAGAGTTATTTTTCTTCATGTATAAAGTGAGCATTTTGCAACTAATAGGCTGGAAGCTAATGTGCATGAAATTAAATTGAATATTGATAATTACTATAATAGATGATGATTATTATTTTGAGACAAGACTTTACTTTGTAGCTCAGGGTAGTCTTGAATGGTCTGGCCTCAAACTCATGACCTCTTGCCTCAACTCTTGAGTGCGGGATTACAGGCATGCTGCACCATGCTTGACTACAAAGTTATGTAAAGGAGCCGATGTCTCTCTTATAAGAAAACATGGGTATAAATGTCAGGCCTACTTATCTGTATTCTGTTGGTGGACAAAGTAAGAATTATGCATATATCACTATTCCCACTCAAAGAACAGATTTTCAGAGGTTATTATTTTAAACGGGTTGGCAGGCTGTGTCTATAAAGGACTGTGTTCTAGGCCTGATGGACCATATGGTTTCTGTCAGTTACTCAGTTCTGCAGCTGAAACGAAAGCAGCCATAGGTAATCTATAAATGAATAAGAATGCTCAGCAATGTTTTATTTATAAACACAAGCTGCATTTAAAAAATGTATAATCATAGGCTGCATTTGGTCTGCAGGTTACAGTTGCTGACCCATGATCTAGAAAGAATCAGAGGAATATAGATTTTTTAGTGTTGACTGGTTTAATCGTGATTTGGAATGGTGGGCAATTAGATGAGTCTAATTGGTTTTTCTGTCCACTTTCTTAATGTTCCTTTTAAGGTGTTTTGTTGTTTGACTTTAAATGTAAGCAAGTATTTCTTCACTTAAATATTCACTTGAAATCAGTGGATTTCACTTCAAATATTTTTTATCTATTTTTGATTTAGCACAGTCTTTTAAAAATTTATCAGATATATATGAAATTTATTTTTATTTTTAGTTTTTTGAGACAGGGTCTCCCTGTAGCCCCAGCTGGCCTGGAACTCACTATGTAGATCAGGCTGGGCTTGAACTCACAGAGTTCCACCTGCCTCTGCCTCTTGAGTATGAGTGCTGGGATCAAAGATATATGCCACCATGCTTGGCTCACTTTTTTTTTTTTTAAACCCAAGATAGTTCTTTCCATTTTCTCTAGTAATTTCTTACCAAAGCCACTCTTTTTAAAATTTTATCATATTAAGGAATTCATTTTCGTAAAGAGAGTTTGAGAACAGAATCCAGGGCATCATGTATGCTAGGCAAGCACACTACTACTGAGCCACACTTCTAGCCTGATATTAAGAAATTATTATTACAATTGCTTATAATACATTTATGGTTCCATTTCTTGCCTGAACGCCCCATCAAAATCACTTCTCCTGCCTTTGGTCTGAGGACCTTCTACTGCCTTCATTTCCATTTCCTTCCTACATTGGCTGCACATTTAGTTCTCATAATTTTTTTCCATTTCATCTCCCTCCCAAACTGAGCTTCAGATCACTTTCTTTCTCTGTGTATTCTGTTTCTCCTTTCTTGACCCCCTGTCTGTCCTCTCAATCCACTAATCCCTGGAACACTACCCAGTTGGGGACTGCTCTTTCACTTGGATAGTTCCATTTAGCCAGAACTCCTCCTCCCTCTGATACACTTCCTCCTCTTTAAAGGGCTGACAAACAGCAGACCTTTTCTGAATCTTTAGCTCAGGCCTAGAGTGGGGAGATAATATGTAACAGTTGGGTTATGAAAAAAAAAGCAGATGATTTCCCAGTTTGTTTGGACTTTGTACACCTCTGGAGCATCCTTAGACAGTGACTAAATGCCATTTTCCATGTCAGTTCAACTATCACTCTCTCTAATTTGTCTTTGCACATTGTCTCTATTTGCTTTTGTTTACTGTTAACAGAAGCTGCAACATTCATGCAGAAATAATCATGGTCTTGGCCTGCAGAACACAAGGAAGAAGAGACAGGGGAAAGAGAAAACCCTCTGTTGTTTTACAGTTCAGTCCACATTAAAACTTCCAGGCCTCTTGTCATCTGAAAAGCCGTTTCAAAGAAGGATGTGACCTGTTAATTTTGCAGTCATTTTTGTTTTTAGCTGATAGCCAATCAAATATTCTAGCATTTTAGCTTGGTCTTCTGAGCATGCAGATATACACAGTGAAATAATAAGACATAAAAGGGAAAATCTCTTCCGTTTGTCTCGGTGTTTGATAATGTATGCAACCTCTCTGGGTGGTTTAAGCGGTTTAGGTGCATTCTATGAAAAGAGCTTTTACTGACAAAACTAATGTGATTATCTGAGGGAGTGCGAGAGGGGTATTGATGCCTTAGAGAAAGGAAATCTGTTCTAAAAGCTGAATGTATCTGTTTAATCCTTTTTCTAATGTGGACGGACCATATTCTCTAGAGGAGATTGGTCTTTTTTTTTTTTTTTTTTTAACCTGTCTTCTTTCTTTTTTAAACTTTTTATTTTTGCCCCACCCCTTTTTCTTTTATTCCAATGCTTATCCTAGATACAGAGACGTCAAGCTTTTAAATAAATCATTATCATTACTTTCTTATCTGTGAGTGCAAAGGGCAGAACCTAAATGTTCAGCTGTCCTACTTTCTACACTTATTCAGTTTTATGCTGGAATCTGCTTTGTAGCCCAGGCTGGCCTACAACTTGTGATCTTCCAGTCTCAGCCTCCCTAGTGCTGGGATTACAGGCTTGTGCCACCATACCTGGCTTCTCCCCTAGTTCTGTAGTTTAGAAACTAGAATTATTAAAATAACTTCTAATGTCCTTTTAAAAGTGTATCCTGAGTGTTTGCTTTTATAGTATGAAATGGAAAGTGAATTAAATCTATTTAATTCAAGTGGTGAGCCATGAGCCTCCTATTAATCAACTATTCTAATTTCCTTCTAAACTATTGCATATGTATTTAAAAATTTGTACTGCAATGATTTGCCTCTAAGTTTTTACCCAAAGTAAATAAAATTAAGAGTTAAAAAATGTGTTTAAGAAGATGATTGTGAAAGCCAGACCTCATGGCATAGGCCTATAATCCTAGTTACTTGAGAGCCTGAAGTAAGAAGTTTGCAAATTTGAAGGCAGCTTGAGCAACTTGGTAAAACTTAAAAACACACACACACACACACACACACACACACACTAATCATAAACAGGGTATACTGAGTCTATTAGTTACTTCTCTGTTGCTGTGATAAAACACTGTGACCAAGGGAACTTATAAAAGGAAGACTTTATTTGCACTTATGATTCTAGAGGAATCAGAGTCTATCATGGTGGGGAGGCATGGTGGCAGAAGTGGCCAGAGTAGAAATTGGAATGTTCACATCTTCAATTACACACAGGAAGCAGGGAGAGACTGGAAATCCAGCAAGGTTTAAGAACTCTCCCAGTAACATGTTTCCTTCAGCAAAGCCACATCTTCTAAGATCTCCCAAAATGGCATCACCAACTGGGGACAAAAATGTCCAAATACTTGGAGCCTATGGAAGACAGTCTCATTCAAACCACCACAGTGGGTGTTGAGTGTCTAGAACAGAAGTGGTTGTTGAGGACTTTTTCCTTGCTAATTAAATCACAGATCCTCAGTAACAACCAAATGTTGCCCTGATCAAATGGGTCATATGTGCAAACCATTAGAATTGAAGTATTTCATGAGGTTGTACCAAAAGTGCTGATGTTTGACTTACAAACATGACAATTTCATATGATTCAACCTCAACTTCACATGTATATGCTTGGACTGGAGACTTGGCTTAGTGGTTAAGAGCACTGGCTGGAACTGGAACCTGGGTTCCAGTTCACAATAGTCTATAACTCCAGTTCCAGGAGATCCAGTGTCCTCTTCTGGCTTCTGTAGACATTGTACTTACATGGGTATGTTTACATGCATGCAGGCAAAATATTTATGTGCATAAAAAGAAATAAAAAATTAAAAAGGTATATGCATGTTGTGTATATTATACATCTTTAATAAAAAGTATGTGATCATCCCCCTTTCAATTACTGTAGCCTTTGAGTAATCGTGTAATACTGCTGTAGTCTTGTCCTTATGAATTTAATACTTTTGAAGCCTTGTTTTATTATCAGAGGAAGTGCAGAGATATATGTAGAGATTGTGTCTCTTTATGCTAGAAGTTGATGCTTGTATTTAGATAATCTTTAAATTAGAAAGGAACTCTAGAATTTCTCTAATACAATTCTCACAATTAACTTGCAAATATTTAAGAAAAATGATGTGTTATATTCAGACTTTCCAAATAGTACATGTTATAGCTTGATACTTCCTTTATGTGAGGGTAGCTTGACAGAGATCTAGCCATAGGGATATGTAACTTTATTTATGATAATGAAAGGTTAAAATGTTCTAAATGTCCAATCTTTTTTCTTTCATTTGTAATTGAATTCTTGTCAATGTCATACAATCTATTTTGATCATATTTAGACCCCTTTCCTATCTGCACCCTTCTTGGAGCCTCCCTGCAATAAATATTTCATGTATCCTGTCATATACGTTCAGGTTGCTTCATCTGTTCCTGAACTCTCTAAGCTGACTGCTCCTCTCTGAATTTTTTTCATGTTGGTCAATGTCCTTCTTAAGGTCAGAACTGGGCCTAGTTCTCCAAGGAGGATCTGACCTTGCCAAGATATGGGCTCAGGACTGATTTTAGTCTGGATATTGGAATTTCTATTAGCAGAGGCCAAGTCTCTGTCCATGATGCTCTGGGGCTGCAGAAACCCATGGATTGTCATCTGGTGCCAGTCTCTAGCCATGCTTGTGCCTTTTAAGGGAACAACAACTGCTCTTTGCAGGGATGGTTATTCAATGGGACTCCTTTTCTTTCCATGACAGAGGCCCAGTATTCTAGCTCTAAAAGGGGCTCTCACTCCAGCATGTGAGTCACTCGGTTGCTACTATGCTTTTCCAGAGTTGTAGCTACTTGTACATCATTCCCTCCTTTCTCCTGTCCAACCTGCCTCATCTGCCTGCATCTTCCACCACACCGTGCTTGAACATAATGCTCTTCTCTGCACTCCATGCATCTACTCTGTAGTTTTGGTTTTGGAACCAGCTGAGTCTGCTGCGGGGTATCCAGACTGAGGAAAGAACTGGTAATGGACAGTATAACTTTGCTAGTGGACAGTATAATGTATCTTGTGATTGGTTCTTAGCTTCCATACTGTCTTGAATATTTCTAATTGCTGTGTATCTTAGGAACATTCTCTGAGAAATGTTCGGTAGTTGTTGATTTGCATCTCCGAGGCAGAACCGGGATGAGGGGCTGGACACTTCCTTTCTCCTTGCCTTCTTTTCCTGACTTGTCCCTAGCCCAGGCAAGATCCTCTGCCTAGAACCTCTCTCTCAGGTAGAACTGGATTTTTTCATTCCTGGATCCTTCTCTGAACTAATCTCTCTTTTGGTCAAAACTTGCCTACCACATATATTTTTCCATATGAAATGGGAAGAGAACAGCTCACTGAAGTCACGCCAAAGTGTTGATAGGGTATGATATGGACTTAGTGTTTTTGCTCTTAGGGCTGTTTGTATTTTCACAAGGAGACACTTTAATCTGTATAGCACAGTGGATAATAGACATAACATATGCATATATACTGTGTGTATATCATAAGTATAGATAGCTAGGGATAAATTCCAGTTCTACCATTTGCTCATTGGTGAACTATAATAAAGTGGTTTAACCTTACAATCAGTTTCTTCCAGGCAAAGTAGTAGAGTATAATCTATCAGATAGAACTGATGTTTTGAGAATTATATGATGAGTAAACTCAGGGCTTACTCACCAGAAGAAGCTATTGTTATTAAGATTCATCTATGATTATACTATGTGAATTTTTGTTAACATTTTATTAAGAAATATTTCAAATATACAGAAAAATTGAAATAATTGGACAGTGAATACCAGTAAACTTGCCTTTAACATGCTAGATAAGCACTGCACCACTGAAATGTATCCCTTGCCCTTACTTCCTAAACTCTATGAAACTATTTTGCTGTATTTGATTTATCATGTGTTCACCTGTCAATCTTTTTATCTCTTACGTTTTAACACACTTCAAAGTAAGTTGTAGACAATACAACTCTCTTTAAATAATACCATTGAGTTAAATATTTGCTTATGATTATTTTTAAAAAGTTAATTTAGCATACAGTGTAACAGGCTTTCTTATGGCATTTTTGTGCACACTTAGTTTGGTTGATCTCCTCTCCACTCTTTTCTATATCTCTGTGCCCTCCATCTCTGCTGGTACCCTTCCACCACTTCCGTGTTTATATTGTGACTCTTTTTTGAAGGGAATCAAAATCTACATATAATGAAATGTATGGATTTATGTGAACCATTTGTTAGTTAAATCAGTCTCCTATGAAAATACAGGCTATTTCTGTATCTTAGAACATTCCCCATGTATCTTTCTAGGCAGTTTCTACTTCTACTCCTAACCCAGAGTATTGCCTGTGATTTTCAGAGCTAGAATTGAGGCTGCAAATATTGGAGGGCTAGGTGGTTGCCTTTGATCATTTGAAATGTTGGAACAGATGTTGGAACTATGAACTGTTTTCCATAAGAAATTTTATAATTTTTCAATAACAAGATGGCCTTCCCATGAAATCAGAAAAGAGGCTACTGGAGGTGGAAGGGTATAGGAGAATGAGGGGACGGACTGTGGAGAGGAGACGAACACATTGTTTGAAATACTAAAATGAAACCTAGTTTGTATGCTAATTAAAAAAATAGTCCTTCATCCAACAAGACCTTGCTAAGCACTGAGGGAGACTTTGTAGAATCAAATGAGTACAGGACAACATTATAGATGCTGTGGTAGAAAGAGGTGTAAGCTAAAATGCCAAGAAAGGACTGGTTTAGTTCTTCCAGACTGGGAAACACAGGCAAAGTTAACCTTAGAGAGGAGGGAATGTTTGAGCTGGGTGTTATAAAAGATGAGTTGACAAGCCACTCATAACACCAAAGAATGGGAAAAGGGACTTGAGGATGAGCAGTGGCAAATGGGAGGGAAAAAGTGTGGTGGGGAACGGCTTTCCTGAATGGCAGCAGCCTATACAGATTAAGCTGGTGTAGTTGGTGGACAGGACTTTGCATACCATGTGAAGGCATTGTTTCCATGTGTGGAGACTTTACAAGGTGTATTTGTTTAGGAAGATTTCCTCAAGAGAGAAAAATTAAAGCAATGCAATTTAGATTTTTTTTTTCTTTCTTTCTGGAAATTGCTGTGTATACTAGATGGGCTTGTATTCACCATCCTCCTGCCTCTGTCTCCAGTGCATGCTGGGATTAGGTGTATACAACCGTACCTAGCTTCAGTTAGATGTTTAACAGTGCTTTATGGGGGGCTGGAGAGATGGCTCAGCTAAAGTTTAGAGCACTGGCTGCTCTCGCAGAGAACCCAAGCATCCACATGGTGGCTAACAACCATCTGTAACTCCAGTTCCAGGGGATCTGACACCTTCTTCTGACCTCTGTGGGCCTTGCATGCACGTAGTGCATGTCTACACAAGCAGACAAAACACTCATACCTATAAAATAAAAATAAATCAGTCAAAAAGAGTGCTTTATGATCAAACTATAATCATATTTCTTCTTGTGTTATTAAATTGTAGCTTTCTATTCATATCGGACTCTCTGTTTATCTCCCCAACATGACAGGTAGTGTGCGAGTATTTGATAAATCCTCATTTGTCTGATTCACTGCTCTTGCAGAGTATTTACCAAGCTGTGAATATATATTATAATTATTCAGGCCAGATGAGATGCAACAATATTTTTGAAACGGCAATTGCCAGTTTGGGATCCCAGGTTTGGGGCTATCAGGTAAGCATGTATGATTTCCTGCAGTATCATTTGCTTTCCATTCTTCAGTTATGCTGCAAGAGAGACCAGCTAAGACTATCACCTAACCTGGATTCCAGTCTAGACTCTGTTGCATTCTACTGTGATACTACAGATCAGTCCATTCGTTCGTTCATTCGTTCATTCGTTCATTCATTCATTCATTCATTCACGTACTTAATCATTAAATATATAGTGAGTGCCTATTCTTGATTAACCTCACTTACACTTCAAAGACATAAAAATAAATAATGTATGATTTTTGCGATTAAATATAGCCTGGTGAGAAAGATAGGTAAATTAACATTATAATAGACCTTGGTAAGTCCTGTAAAGGAAGCATTGTAGGGACTCATGAAAGAAAGGGAGTCTAGCTTGACTTTCCCTGAGTCTCCATTCCTTTATGTCTGCATAGTAAGACTAATAGTAATAATAATACTTTCCTGCTAGAGTTGCAGTGAGCGTTAAATATAATCATAGATGTGAAAGAAGGCCTTTTGCAAGGAAAGGAATGCATAGTCCTGACTTCTGTGACTTCTATGGAAAATAAGGGGTTATGTGGCAGGGAAATAAAGAGTGGGGCCCCTGAAGCTGGACTGCAAGTTCAATCCCCAGCTTTGCTACTTACCAGTTGAATGACCTTGGGTAATTCATCTTTTTGTATTTTATTTTCTCTTTGTTTCCCTTTCCTGGTTTACATTCTAGACCTGCACAGAAATAATCTTGCCTTTTTGTACTAATGGCATTGATGACATGTTTGAACCCCGTGATTGGAACTTAGACAACTTTTCTGATGACTGTTTTAAACAGTGGGGTGTGAGACCACAGCCTTCCTGGATCACTACCATATATGGAGGCAAAAATATCCATACACACTCGAACATTATTTTCAGGTGAGCTCTGGTGGTCCCAAGAGGAACTTTGGTTGATGAGACACTTGTAGAATGGCTGAGAAAATAGAACTAGGAAAGGGCCATAGAATACAATAGTGACACCTGTCAGAGTTTTCTACTCCTGAAAGACAGATTCAGTTTTGTGCTGTATTATCAACATGCTGAAAGGCTTAAAAGACAAGGACAACAAAATCATAATTAAAAAAATCTCCAGCAGAAAATTTCACAAGGCCCCATCCCTAGGTGAAGAGCTAGAGACTGTCAATGGCTGCTGAAGGATGGAGAACTGGTTTCTTCCTCCTCCCCCCCTCCTCTCCCCCTTCCTCCTCCCCCCTCC